TATATATATATATATATATATATATATATATATATATATGTAACGGAGCCCAGCTAGTAGTTGCTGTGCGAGTAAACCTCACTCATCTGATCTCAAAACGCTCTCTAGCGACAGATAGACCCGCTCAGAGCGGGGTGAGAAGGACCCGGGTGGAGGGGTTACATATACACAGTATATATGACTATAACCAGTTATGCCCTTTAGGGATTTGCTAGGCAGAGAGACAGCTAGATTTTCCCGTTTTTATTGAGATTTATGCAGTTTGATATCTTAATGTATTTTGAAATTAGAGCATAGAACCAATAAACAAATAGAGATGAAAATGAAATCATGTAATTAATATGGTTAACAAAATGTAGGCCTACAGTATCTCATTTTTTTTAAAGTCAGGTCACCTTTATTTATAGCGCTTAATACAATACAGATTGTTTTTAAAGCAGCTTTACGGTGATTTCAGCCTTTGTTCAGCTGAAGTCAGTTCAGTGTTGATTCAGTGCCGTTGTAAAGATCATCGATTATAAAATCAGTTCATTTCATCTATAAAGCAGTTCTGCGGAAAACTGTGATGTCGTCATCCAGCTCAGTTCAGTTCTCATGCGACAGCGTCAGTACAGGCAGATCAATATAATATTGTTGAATATTAAATGTCCCCAACTAAGCAAGCCAGAGGCAACATTGGCAAGGATCCCAAACTCCATCAAGTGAAAGAATGGAGGGGAAAAAAACGGTAACGCTTCCTTTTACAGTCCTGTTACCCATGTACATACTATGTACTTATTATAGTAATTACAATTACTGGGTAATAACTAGGTACTACTAACCCTGAACCTACCCCTAACCTATGTACTTATCTTATATTAGCCAGTCCTTTCTAGGTAAGTACACGTTAGTACTGCTGTAAAAGGAACCGTTACCAAAAAACCTTAGGAGAAACCAGACTCAGTCGTGCAGTTCTCCTCTGGCCAACAAATGAACATGGTGTGATTATGATTCAGGCTGTATCTCAAGTCAGAGTTCAGATCAGGATTGGGAGCGTTTTAATATTCATCCAGTTTCTTTTGCTTGAAGATGAATTGATCACGCCAGAGATGCCGAGAGCTAGCGTCCGTGACTAACTTGGAGTTGACAGAGCTTCACGAGTCACGACTTGACAGCTTTATTAGACAGGTGAGCAAATGTACATAAAACAAATCAATGTTATATAACGTTAGCTCAACATGATGAAATGTTAGAATATGGTCAGTATATTATTCTAATGTTGATCTAGCTTACTGCTAGTTTCGTATAGCAAACGAACTAACTCGTAGTATAACATTATAACTTTCAACACACATTTAAATGCCGTTTAGTGTGATAGTGTAACGTTAGACCAAGTGAAGCAGCGCTGCGTTACCTCACAAGTTTCATTCGTCTAATAAACTGACCTGTGTGAGTAATCCAGCACTTGTGGGTAGTTCGGTAGAATTAAATGTCCTTATTCATTTATATCCGTGGGACTCGCGTGTGATATCTGTCTCTTTAGCAATCGCGACCTGCTTCATACCACTGTGATGTTAAAGAACATGAATGTTTGCACTCATCTATAAACATTATTAGATCCATCAGCTTGACAGCAAGTCCCATCATTCAGCTCATCACTGCGTCATCAACCTACGCCTTTGTTATTGTTGGAAACTGCGCCCTCTTGTGGCGAAAAAAAACTACATATTGTGCCTTTAAGTGTGAGACAGACTAATATTAGTGTAGATGCCATTCTTCTTATGATGTAACAAGTACATCGGGTGTTATAGGAAGTGTTCTGGTTGACCTAATTTATGCAGCCTAACAATCATTTAACTGCTAATGTGTAACCAAGCAAACGTGTGGCATTCTTACTATGCAGTGAAAGCTCTTCCCAACTCGGCTGCAGGAGTTTCCACACATGTTGCTTTGCTTTCACCCTTCTGCCCAGTTCATCCCAGACCAGCTCAGTTGGGTTCAGTCTGACACCGAGCTGGCCATCCATCATTTGAAGTCCAGTAGTTCTGGCACAGCCTGGAGGTTTGTTTCGGGTCTGTTTCTTGCTGTAGGATGAAACCTTGACCCAATAGGTGTATACCTGAGGACACAACATCACGCTGTGAGGAAGCTGTGGTGTTTTTGCTTCAGGGTGCCACTCGCTTTGTGCAAATCACAGACTCTGGATGCAGCGAAAGATCCCCGAAGAATCGTACTTTCTCCTCCATGTTTGACTACTGGTGTCACACAACAAGGGACCATCCTTTCACCTACTCAATAGTGTACAAAAAGCCTGAGAGGGGTTTGATCAGTTCATCCAATCATCAGTAGACCAGCTGTGGTCCTTCATGGCTCATTTGCTTATTCAGAAACCGCAGGTCTAAAACATTTGACCTAATTATTAAAACCCACAAAAATAATTATGTCTGTTAGTCTATGTATATGTTTATTGGGAGCTTTATCACATCCTACAGATGATTATAACATATTTGAGAGCCCATGGTTGTGTAGAAAAGTATGGAAAAGTACCAATAGGCCTATGCAAAATAAGACGAGATCATTTTGGGATGGAACAAGGTTTTTCAAGTTTATTTGCTGTCAGTGTCATTAAACATCAGGAAATAAAAGTACAAAAATGTGTTTCATATTTAAACAACATGGTTCAGTGTCGCACTGAAAATAATGAGGAACAAACATTGAATAGTGAATCTACTCTAAATGAACAGACACACGGTTAGTGAGGAGAAAACATTTGATCTGACTGGCATATGCTGGAAATATGACTGTAGCTATATGACTATGAGTTTGATGCTTTAATACTGTGATTCAATCAGAAACACAAGCATGTCCAGGTCAAATTTCACTTCAAGAATCAAAAAATAGAAAAGAAAAAAATACATGTTTTGCATAAATAGTTTATTTTACGATGATTACCATTACCATACTTTACAATTTGAATATCAAATAATTTTCTGCATTATAGTATTGAGAATTCCTGGGGAAAATAATTGTCATAAAAATAATAATGTAATGCAGAAAATAATTTAAATTGAAAAGTATGGTAACAGTGAAGTAATCATCCTAAAATAATTATTTATGTAAATTAGAATTGATTCCCTCTATTTTTTTTTTTATTCAAATTTCACATGAAATATGACCCAGTCCTTGAGGTTTTGTGAGATTTAACTGTACAGTTACCATGAAATAAGGGTGTAAAAAACAATTCACATACACACAGCTGTAGAAAAAAAGTCTGATCAGAAGTAGATGGATATGACAGCAATAACAGATCTAAATATCAAAAAAATAATAACAATAGCAATAAAACAAAACTAACAGTCAGAGAAATCTTATCATATACTGGATAAGCTTCAACATCAGAAAGTTACCAGTGTCCCAACTACAGTGCAATTATGACCTTGGCCATCAGATTTATTTCTTTTAATAGACAGCTGTAAAACAATGTATAATATTGTGTTCGTTTAACAAGTCATTCTACAAGAAACATACACAAAAAAATCAGAGGACGCAGAAAACACACCAATTGTTCATTTCTACAACAGAGATTGCAGCCCATGACAGTTATTTGGACAAACAGCTTATTTGTTTGACTTACTTAATTATTTATTCTAGAAATGCTTTAGTCTACAATTATATTGGCTATTTAAAACAGATCCGTTTTTACACGAGCTCTGCCAGATCTGTGTTGTCAGGTTTGTTTTCATAAAAAATGAATGTTGTGCATCTCCTGGAAAAAGATCACTTTTTGATCGTTTTACTATAACAAATGTTCCAGTTCGTGTGTGTAACACCGATTACCTGAATTCTGCCATGTGTCTCTAAAAATCAATTTCAAATGTACATCAATTGTTTGATCTGCCGTGACATGATTTCTCTCACCCACTCGTCTATGCGTGCAGCTCTTCAGAGTAAAGCTCGTTTGCCGTCGTCGGGAGGAAGTGATGCGTTCCACAGGAGAGGATAATGTCAAGTGTTCGTATGTTCGTTCGTGACGGGTCGCTGGTGGCGGGTACAGATCAGGACATTTCTCCCAACAAACACGTCAATTATAAAATACCTGAATTTTTCTGACGCATGATTAAAGGATAAGAAGGAACCCCTGGAAACAGCAACAGTTTGAGCTTATTAAGTGTTCAGAGTATGGCTATACCACATCTTTTACGCCGAGTGCAGACGGCACGGCGTTTTCTGTCCTGCAGCAAACATCAACAGCATTGACTGGGGTGTTTTAGATCATTATGGTTTCACTTATTAATTGTTCTAATGTTTCCCAAATGGATGCTAACAAAAAGCTTTAAGGGTTTTAGACCTTTCTAGGCCATGAGACGGGACCCCAAATTTGGGCTACCGGTACCATTTTGAGGGATTAAATTTCTTTTTGATTTTCATGAAGGTACACATCTCTAGTGTTGGAAAATGTGTGATGGCATCCGATCCATGGTAGCTTTCATTAGAAATCAACACTTATATCATCCTACCTCAAGGTAAGGTGTTCAGTGACAACAAGAGAGAAAAATGTATCCTTTTATAATTGTAATTTTTTTTTTTTAAATGTATAATTTTTTTTATTATAAAAATGTATACATTTTTTATAACATTTTAAATTTATTTAAAGATAAATTCATTTATCCTTTTTCTTGACATATGTTTGAAAATCGTCCTCCGTAACCAAAAACTACCTTGAATCTAATGCTATCACACATTTTTCAAATACAGGGTCATATACCTACACAAAAATCACTATGCGGTTTAATCCCTCAAAATGGTACCAATCAACCCTCTGTCTCACGGCCTATTCTGGACTTTTTAACATTTTAGACACTTTCAGAAATCGATTTGGTCTTCTGCTGAAAGTATAGGGCCTTTTCCCATTCATGTAACTTTTTAAAAATATATATTTAATATTTTTTTTATTTTTTTTAATCTATTTTAATATGATGATTTATTATTATTATTATTATATTTCAATGTAACATTTAATGTAATTAAATAAAAATACTCGTTGCTGGCTGCAGTTCACTTAACGGCCACCGGTGTCGCTAATAACAAGGGTTTCTGAATTCTACATATAGCCCCTTTAATATTATCTAATAGACCTGAGCTAACAATGAACCACTGTATTTTATTAACTGACAAAGATTAATAAATACTGCAACAAATGCATTGCTCATTGTTATTAAATGTAACTTAATGCATTAACTATTACATTAAACGTTACATAAATACAACAATAATAATAAATTGTCGTAAAAAAAATAAGGGGTTGTAATTTGTACCTTATTCATGCTGAAAGAAATGTTTTACCCAAGAAAAAATCGTAGCAATGTGCACCCGACTTTAGTTTGTTCACACCAGACGGTCTGCCATTAAACATTAGCTTTGATTGATAGCTTAATAAGGTGGTCTCATCCACACTGAGAGTGTTTGTATCAGGATATAGTACGTTATACATTGCCGCACCACAGATGATCATCCCTTGGTGAATATTAGGGTCCTCAAAAGTCCTTTAGTAATACTCATCCATATCAAACACACAGAGTTCAGACCCTAATGCTCATCAGAGGGTGGACAGTGAAACTATACAGGACAAAGTCGGTGTGTGTTTCCTGTCGAAGGCACAAACTGATGTCCAGAAAACCTCAGAGGGTGATGCGGGCACAGTGATGTTTGAGCTTACAGGGGAGAACGCCTCTGTTCAGCTGGTAAAACTCAACTAGTTGCAGAAGGTCAGTGAAGCGTGTGTGTCCGTCGTCCAGACTGTAGAAGAGCTCGCTGTTTTCTTCAACCTGACAGTCACAAACACATTTAGAGTGTTACATCCACACACATATTTTACAGCATTATATGTACAAATATCATATTTTTGGCCAGAGCTGTTATATTTGTCTGTCTGTGTATGACCCTCTTAATATGGTGATTTTGCCTTGTTAAAAGCACACAACAATGTTACATTTTGTTGAAATCTCTTGACTTTATACTGTAATATATATTTTCTATATTAGATAGATAGATAGATAGATAGATAGATAGATAGATAGATAGATAGATAGATAGATAGATAGATAGATAGATAGATAGATAGATAGATAGATAGATAGATAGATAGATAGATAGATAGATAGACACTCGCACAGAAACGTTTTTTCATCGCTGCTCTGACAATTTTATCGGTAACACTTTACAATACGGGTGCACTAATATGCATTAATTCATGTTTAACTAATGCATAGATAATCATGAGTTAATGTATGATTCATGAAGAACTAAACCATTAATTAATTAATTATTACTGCATCAGCAACTAACAAAGAGTCTATATTAAGTAATACATGAATTGCTATTAATTCAATGTGTCATTGTGTATTAATTCCTTAATAACCTATTTTATTAACCAATAGTGTAAATTAATGTGTTAATTACCACAATTAGTCAAAGCTATGCACTTCAACTTCCAGTTGTCTGCTTTAATTAATCATTAGCTAATGATTTGCAAAGGTATCATTATGTTATGACTTTACTTGTTGAGGCACATCATTATTAACTAGTCATTTAGTAATTGTAGTAATTTACACATGAATTTGCACTAACAATGAAGTAATTAATCATGTATTAATGCATATTAGTGGAGCTGTATTATCTGGAAGTTGAAATACAAGGCTTTGGCTCATTCTGGTAATTAACATATTAATTAACACTAATAGTTAAAAAAATGAGTTATTAGGGAATTAATTCACAATAACATATTTAATTAATAACAATTAATACATTAACCATATAGACTCTTAATTAGTTCCTAATGTGGTAATCATTAATGTATAGCTTAGATAATCATTAGTTACACATTAATTCAGTATTATCTGTGCATTAGTTAAGCATGAATTAATGCTTATTAGTGCACCCGTATTGTAAAGTTACCATTTTATCAGTAAAATAGTTAAAAAAAACTTTGACAACAATGACATTTCTCTCTAGAAAGGTAATAACGGCGCTGATCTTGAAGCAGTTAAACTTACAGTTTCGCTATTAGTAGAGATGCGGCCCAACACTGTTGAGAGACTCGGGTAATTCACACACGTGTAATCTCTCTCTCTCTCTCTCTCTAATGCAGTTATTAATGCAGTTATTATTGTATCAATGGCTCAAACCTCCATTACTAGCTATAAAATGAAGTTTTGGAATTAGCAACGGAGGCTTGAAATTAAAGCTGCAGTCCGGCATTTTTCCTCTTTGTCGCCATCTCTGTTCGAAATCTGCAATTGCAGTCATTCGCGGAATTATCAACTTTACGTGGGTTGTAGTTCAACACCCTCGACACGGCACAGCGCGGATGAACACAGTGTTTGAGGAGAGTGTGCAGCTGTCAGTCACCGCGCTGGTGTGGATATTGTCATTCAGAATCACAGATTATTCTTTTTGGAAGTATGACCAACATAAGAATTTTCACCGGGAAATGTCATCTGAACTAGTAAGAAACATTCACTTTTGTTCTGGTTCTGACATTGCAGTAAATCGCGCTGATTAAATCTAACAATTGCTTATAAGTTATCATTTCACGCAAAACCGTGCAAAGTAGCTATACTATGTTCTCTAATTGTTAATGTTAACAACGTCAGCAAGCATTGCGTGACTACATCCAGTGGCGTCATGCCCATTCAAAGTGAGGGGGCACGTGCCCCCTCAGATTTTTCCTCCCTAGGGTGACCAGAAGTCCCGAAAAATTCGGGACAGTCCCGAAATCTAAGCTGTTGTCCCGAATCCCGAAACTGACCTTAATTGTCCCGAAAATTATACTAAAGCAAAATCTTGATATATCATATTAAAAACTGTCCGTGGAAGTTGAGTCGTCCTGCAGCCAGCCCCTTCCAATTGCAGCAGCCGCGAGGACAGTGAATGTGCAGGCAGCCAGCCAGTCTAAACTTGTGTTTTTTTTTACGCGCGTCATTTGCTCTTGACGCGCGAATGGATTCAAAGTGTTCACGCGTAGGCTATAACTAGACGCGGTAGGCGCGAATTTGACGCGCTATTCGCGTCTGGTGTGAACGCAGCATTAAAGGAGTGATTGATTGGTCGCGTCACTGTGTGCAAAAAAAAACTTCGTTCGGGCCTTATAATGTCTGATGTCGGGTTAGGCCTACACAAAGCAAATCATCTACAAAATGATTTAGTTGTCCTATTTAATGACCGACAATTTAGTTGTAATAATAATTTTGCCATAAGGCTTATTAGCGTTAGGCTATAGCCTGAAAGGTCTGATTTAGCCTACAGACTGTTACAACAGTAACACTTTTTTTTTTCACAATGACATTTGAGTTCATGATTTTAATGGGTTTTTTTTTTTGGCAGACCAGTGTTTCCGCTACATTCATTCTGCCGTGGCGGGCCGCCACACCTAAAATCATCCCGCCACGGCTGCAGCTTCTCGGTCCGATATTGTATGTGTTATTGTTAAGCCCCACTAAAGGCATACAAAACATTGTAAAGCACCATAAAGTTTTCACACTATATTCCAAGACTTCTAAAGTCATTCAATAGCATAATGTGAGGTAAAAATGTATATTTAAGTCGTTAAGTTAAAGTTAATGGAAACTCATCTCTCCTCAGTCATTCTCCATTCAGGATTCAAACAGCGCGTCGCGTTCGGTTACGACAGTAACACGACGACTCTCTCTTCAAGATCAATGTTCCCTTTATACTATATTTGTAGATAAAGGTCTATAGTTTGCATAAAATTACTTTATCTTGCTGGAGTTTATAGCGCTTTCTAAATCACATTCCTTTCTCCCGGGTGTCTGTTACTACAGCACTAGAGTAGAGAGCAGACTAAAGACTAATGACAGACTTTGATCTTTGAATTAAAAAATATGTTTGGTTCAGGTTTGAAATTCATTATCTTTTAGTCTAATATCATAGTAGGACTACCCCCCAAATCCCTACAGCATAGTTGTTATACAGATCGCTATACATATTGCATTTGATTTGATTACTTTTTTACATTTCTGTCAAATATTAACCATTTTCAAATAAACGGGGTGGTGTTAACCTTATTCAGCACTGAAATCTGTCAAACTTCTTTCAAAGTCCTTCATCACATATTAATATTAAAATAACTTAATTTCAGAGCACCACAAAGTCAGACCTCAGCACCTTTATGTAGGCTACCTTTAATGTAAGATCGTTCTTAGGTCACATACCAATTTAAAATCATAACATAAAAACTGCAATGGTGCTGTTTTTAAAATCATGTGTAGTAGGCCTAAGTGTACAGTAAGTGTGTGTGTAAACATGCTTTAATGAAGTAGACTTCAAAAGCTTTTGAATTTGAGCTTACAGTTCTTTCATCAACCTGTCTTTACATAAACTTACAAAATAGATACTTTAACTTAGTCCTCAGAATCAGATAGAGGAGTGTTGCTGCTAGCTCCGTTAAGGTATTTCTGTCCCTCCCAAACTGCATTGAAATGGTATGTTTCGCAGCCAGAATTTAAAAAATTTCAGGGGGAGAAACCCCCTGACCCCTCCTAACATGATCCATATCACCTGTCAGAAAACAATTGCAACGTCTCAAATTGTGCCCCCCCAGAATTTTGGCTTGCATGACGCCCCTGACTACATCATGTAATGTCCTTCCGATATTATCCTTGTTTTCGCATGGGTCCGGTTGCAGTCTCTTTTTTTCTGTAGCCACTCCGAAGTCCGAACGAAGTCTTTTGCATGTTACAGCGGGTGAGTCTCTAGTTGTCACTGATGATGATCGTCGTTTGAACCTTTCTGGATCCGCCATCAAATTGATAAGTTTAATTATATCAAGTGCTGTGAGAAAAGGCTATAAATCTCCACCTCCAACATCCTCACACGCAATATAGCTTATTCTAGCCGAGACTCCTTCTTTATGTGTACAGATGTGACGTAATGACGCAAAGACATGCTCGAATCTCCCGCGGAAATCCACCAGTACCACTAAAATTAAAAACATTATTACAAGCTTACCGTTTTGCATCGAGCTACGGCAAGCAGATAGTTTTGAAAACTGGCTGGTTATGTATTTGATCAAATATGTATTTTGGATAATTTTTAACCCAAAAAAAGCTACGGACAGCAGCTTTAAATGCGTAAGAAATCAGTCCAATACACGAGAGAGTTTTAAGGACAAAAACCTGACAAATGTCTTGAAATACATAATTTGAACAATGTTTTGAGGTGTGGTAACCGTAGTATAAGCTGAAAAATGACATTTTCTCATACATGCATTACCACCTCGGGTGTGCATTATTTTTCTAATAATTCAATGGCCCGTCGTCAATTATTCCTTACTTGACTTACCGGTACAATCTGAAAGTGTTTGATTTTCTGCGTATGGCACAGTGACAGAACAAATGTCCTCGGGTTACTTTGGCTGTCCCTTACCAGAAACACCCTGGGAAGACAGATATTTACAAATGCAGAAGCTTTCATTCATGTTCATCAAAAGCTCATAATTTCCTTCATCTTTTAGGTAAAACAGCATTTAGGTAGATTTAAATGAACATACCCATCGATGAGGCCCTGCTGAGTGATTAATTTTTGAGCCTCGTCCCGGGACAGTTTGCTGTGAAACCACGGCTGAGCCACATGGATGGCTAGAGAAGGAAATGACATCATTATGTCAGAAAGAGGGAGGAACATCACTTTTTTAAATTATTTTTTGTACTATATTTTGTTGACGTGTCTATGCTGACCTATGTTGGACATGGAGCTCTGAGAGGCGGATGGACTACCATGAGAGCTCAGTCTGTGGCAGCTTTTCCTCTGGAGAAGAACAAGAGAACACACACTGTAGATTAAACACGTGTTACACACTGCATTACAAAGCACAGCGAACATACAGAATACTGCATACTAGTATACACTCTATACTGCCCATGTTTTTATACTGTAAATTGTAAGTGAAACCGTAGGCATTATCTCACACCAAATGTTTCAAACAGTATGATACATTGAGCATGTGCATTACCTGCACACCAATACGCAGATAACTAACAAAAGTCATTTTTTTTAAATAACCCGATTTGCTGGTTTACATGCAATTAAATTACCTGGCAAGAAAACTGCATTTACAAGACTATTAAAAAACAGGTTATTCCCCGGTGGTAACTTCCAAATGTAAGCATCCACGCATTTCATTCAGAGTATTCTATATGTCGTATGTGAGTTGTGATGCTAAATAAAGCATTTCAAGTATTTCACTTTCATTTGCACAGACTCATTCTCCTCTCATATTTGAAGTTTTACAACTGTACCACTTGTCCTTTGGCTGCACAACGAGTTTGCGATGTATATTTCTCCTCCCCTACTGCAAAACACTCGCTGAATGTGCTTAAATCTGCAGTATAAGGACACTTTCCTTTTACATAACTCACATGCGCACTTCAATAAGCTGACAGAACGCAGGTTAAGGTGTTTACATGCCGGTCAAAATCGGGGTATTGGACAAATATCTAGCTCTAAATCTATTACTTTACGCCGATAAAGGAAAACTGTTTAACACGTTTACATGACCACACACATTGTGGGCTTATTAAGCATTCTCGCTTTAAGAAAGTGCATGTAAACACACACTCATTGTTATGGAGGACCAAACCTGCAGAAATTAAAAATGAATAAATGAAATAAATAAATGAATAAATAAACAAATAAATATGCGAATAAATGTAAAAAAACGACTATTTATACTTTTATTTATGTATAATTATGTATTTTTTCCACATTTATTTATTTTTTCATTTATGCATTTATGCATTTATTTATTTCCACTTTTATTTATTTTCACATTTATTTATGTATATATGGATTTATGTCTACATTTATTTATGTCTACATTTATTTATTTATACATTTATTTATTTATACAGGTTTGGTCCTCCATACATTGTTGCCTGTGAGTGGCACCCTGTTATTCCTGTACATTCATTTTTTTAAATACCTTACATTTTCATGACTAGCTCCATAATCCTTATCTTCTTCTTTTCCCCCAAAAAATTGGTAACACTTTAAAGGGATAGTTCACCCAAAAATGTAAATTCTGTCATCATTTACTCCCCCTCAAGTTATTCCAGACCTGTATGAGTTTCTTTCTTCTGCTGAACACAAATGAAGATATTTTGAAGAATATGGGTAACCAAACAGTTGATGGACCCCACTGACTTCCATAAGCCGTGTTTCCACCTCAGGAACCTTCCCCAGGAACTAGGGACTTTGGGCTGGTACTCCGTGTGTTTCCACCGCAGGAATCAGGGTCTAAATGAAGTTACGGGTATATTCCCCCCTCAGAAAGTCCCTGCTTGCGAGGTAGTACTTTTTCAAAGCTCAGGAACTTTCAGGGGTGGGACTTGGGCGCTGGACATGCTGATTGGTTGAGTTCATGCCACATTTAATTTCAACCACCATTTTTTTTTTAATCTGTTGCGGTGCGTGCAGTAACAGTTGTTTGCTATTCGAATCAACAATGGAGTTTTAAAAATATGACCGATGGATCGACGACGAGGTTCGGGCTTTATTTAGCTTAAATTCAGAGGATGAAATCCAGCGGAAACTATAAAGTAACGCGCAGTCCTACGCCACCGGACTATTTGCCTAATCTTCACGATACTTTAGACCGCGGTGGAAACGCAGACAGCAACAGGTCTGGGGTAGAGCCCGAAGCCATTTGTTTTGAGAATAATGGCTGGCTGATGAAGTTATTGGCTGGCTAGCCGGCTCAGCCAAAACCTAAATGGCGGCTGCAGCCGCCAAACTTTTCATAGCTGCAAATGGCTGAAGCTGCCACTTCATGTCTACAGATGTCTATGTTATACTGATTTACTAGATCTCAATATTTCCAAGCAATGTTTTTTGGAATAAAATGTTATATATGTATCAGGCTAGGAATAATATATATTTACAAATCCCTCTGTAAATGTCTTCATAATATAACTAGGTACTACTGAAGTGGAGATTTCGGACTTGGGGTATGAGAGAAAGGTCATTTTGAGAAAACGGGCTTTAAAGATTTATCATCAGCCAATGAGATCGCGCATTCAGTCTTTTTACTTTCACGATTGGTTGCTGATAAAAAGGAAATGACCATATTTGGATCCAACAGGATTGTACAGAAGAGAGAGAGCTTCCTAACGGTGCATGTGATGAGAGGGTGACGGCAGAGATCACAGAGAAGTATGTTGATTAAGAACGCAAACTTTTGTTGAATTTATGAGAAATCTACAGACGCAAACAGACGAAGTGTAGTAAAATAAAGACCTAAATGTGTATTTCGGACTTTTTTTTTCACCACAAGTCTGAAAGAAGACATGTTATTGAAGACAAATATCCAAAAATCTCAAAATTGACCAGTAAAAACCCCCCGATGTTTTTGCCTGCCGTGTCTCGCCTTAATGTAAACACACACTGTTATCAGTATTATTTTGGGCAAAGTTTTGCACATTTCACTTCAATGTACACTGAAGCATGCGTCGTGAATTAGCAATGTGGAAACGGTGGTTTGTTCCTGCAGTAATATCACGTTCAGTGCTATAAATCTCTCCGTTCCAGAATATTTGGTTCATAACATCAATCTTTGATTCAGGTGTTTGTGCAACCGTGCCCTGAAGATTTAACAAAAGTCTGGGTAGGGCTAAGTTAAAAAAAAAAGCAAGTAGGAATAAGGAAAGTATGTGAGAAGTGAGATCAAAATCACCTTGCTTGCTTCTTTCCGCCATTTCACCTCAGTGCGAGAAAAAAATGCATCGCTTCTTCTGTGCGGTAAACGAGCAATTTTAATTGGTCGTCAATTCACTGTGAGTCTGTGTATCGTAGCAACGAGCACAAGACTGTGCTGTTATGAATCCAGTGGGAAAATAGATATTTCGTGTGTGTATGTCTCTATGTGATAGAATTATTATTTGATGCAAATAACTCTAGCCGGCTCAGCCAAACTTTATCAGATGGCGGCTCAATTTGGCTTACGAAATTATTGGCTGGCGGCGGCTGAAATTCTAAGTGGCGCAAATGGCGGTGGCTTCGGGGTCTAGTCAGGGGGAACAAAAGTTTTTGTCCTGAGACAAATTGTTTCGGGTAATTTCGGGGGAAACGGGGCTGTAGTATTTTTGTTCTACTATGGAAGTCAATGGCTACTGTCAACAGTTTGATTACCAACATTCTTTAAAATATCTTCTTCTGTGTTCAACAGAAGGAGGAAACTCGTATAGATTTAGAACAACTTGTGGGTGAGTAAGTGATGACAGGATTCACATTTGTGGGTGAACTATCCCTTTAAAATTAGCTTCCATTTGTTAAAATAAGTTTTCTGCATTAGTAATGATGAAAAACACATGTATAAATATTATTAAAGTCCCCGTGAACCGGAAGTTGCAAACGACTTTTCTCCAGTGTTGTGACGTATTTCCGAGAGAAACGGAATACTAAATGAGGCAAAATAGTGGGCGTGGCTTTTTTCCCAACTAGCACCTGATTGGATCTAGAAAAGTAGGTGTTTTCATTCAGCCTGTCTACTGTCAGTTGGAGGGGCGTGGTTACGGATGTTAAGCAGACACCCAAACCGTCAAACCTACGTCATCAGGGAAGGTCCTCCAATGCAGAGGGGAGGGGAAATTTCAGATTTTGATTAAAGATTACGAAGCCAAAAAATTGTTTTGTGTGGATTGACTTACATGGATGAATTGTTCACCACAAAACGATCAATTTAGGCAAACAAAGTAAGTATGGTCAATTTTGAATTCATGGGGACTTTAATTTCAACATTTACTAATTCATTATTAAAAAGTTGCATCTGGTAATATTATTTAAATGTACCTGAGCTAACATGAACTAACAGCTCATTGTTAGTTAACTAATGGGACCTTAGTGTCAAAGTGCTATAGCTCATTATATATACTATACACTGCAGCAAAATAAAGGGCACTGAGAAACTGCAATGCTGTTTTCTCTACTTTACACAGACGCAAGTATCTAGTGTGCATTGTGTGTGTGTGTGTGAGGACGTTACCCTCCACGACAGGCCCTCTTCCACAGCCACTGACAGCGCCTCTGACGGGTTCTCTATCACCCGACTCTTGTGTCCTGAGAAGTCCATGGCCACCAGCGAGTTCTCAGAGATGCTCCTCTAAAAACACACACAAAAACATACAATACTGAATAACACGGAAACAAAAACAGGTCGCAGTTCACCCCCCAAAATTCAGACTTTCTGAATTTTTCCCAACCCCGGACGTCACAACAAGCATGACATCTAGTTTAAGATCAAATATTTGCGCATGAATAAGCGTATATTTCCTGTTTTAATTATGATTTTTCACATCTGTACTCTCTAGTGAGGTTCACGGTGTAATGGTTTGCAGTCTCTAAAAACACATGGATTCTGATCATTAAAACAAAACATTAATCTAGTTATAGATCAGTCTTCAGTCGAGAAAAGTCACATTGATTTAAATAGCACTTTATACAATATAGACTGTTTCAAAGCAGATCCATAGTAATAAACAGTGTCATAATGAAACCAAAATGGACAATTCTTATTATTTCATGGAATTTTGCAGTATTTATTATAGATTATTTATCAGTGCACATCATTATTTATTTTAAAAATCATGTGCCATTGTAATCTTTAATCGAAATAATTTGCCCTCACTCTTGCAGCGATATCTCTTCTCTTCTCTGATGACGTGTTTACCGGCGCGAGGGCGGAGCAACCAACCTGTCAATCACAAGAGATCTAACCACAACCATCCAATCAATTCCCCATGGATAAAATCAAGTCCCGTCCCACATTTTCTTCTTGTTTTAGAGGCCGTTTCACTCAGATATACGTCACAATAAGAAAGAAGAGACTATCGCAACTTCATGGCAACTTTAATGTTGTAAAATTAATCAATTATAAAACAAATTCAATTTCAGCTGTAAAGCAGCTCTACAGAAGATAATGTCATTAGATCATCTACGAATTCTCAGAAACTACAAATATTCGCCTGAGATCATCTACAAATTCAGAGCCAGATTTGATTTGCTCTCTCTCTGATGGAGCAGGAGGATGTTAGTTGGAGAGGAATTTTGTTATTCTTATACATGAACACTGGTTACTTTGTTCAGACGCCTTTTAAGGATTTTGAGTTGTCGGGGCTTACGGCTGTGCTGGTTTTCAAGAGCACACTCACTTATCTAACAAAAGAAGCATTTCCTTTTCACAGTGATCCCTATAGTGAGAGAAGCAGTGATTATGACTTCTGAAAGGTCCTTAACCCTCTGGGGTCTGAGGTGTTTTTGGGGCCATTTGGATGTTCTGTGATGCCCTTACATTTGTGCTTTTTTCAGTTATTTATAAACATGTTAATGGCAAAGGTGTAAATTCACTCTATATAGCACAAACAGGGCTACCATAATCTGTGAGCAACTTGTATGTACATTGTTTGTATTTTTAAGAGAATATTGTTTATGCGTGGTTATTGAAAAAAATTAAAATGAAAGCTGCTGAAATAAGACCACAAAACAAATACTAAATATGTGTCCACAAGACTTTTGACAAATGGATGTTGACGCTTCGAGTTCTGGCTTCAAAATGATCTGAAAATCATCCTTCCTAATCATTCACATAAACCAATAGATTGTTTTAAATTGTGAAAAACATTTTTTTGTTTGCCAAGGCAATATGCAGATGGGCGGAACGGCCCAACCCCTATCATGAATATTAAGTGGTTCTCAGACAGTGACCCTACATAATAATGAGCCTTTCATTCAGGGGTGTCACACAAGAAATAATGCAAGGACAATATATATATATATATATATATATTGTCATTGCATTCTTTCTTGTATATATATAGCCTAAATATATATATATATATATATATATATATATACACACACACACACACACATATATATATATATATATATATATATATATATATATATATATATATATATATATACAAACAATCAAAATATAAATGAAAGCCAAAAGCACATTTTTAGTCATACCTGGAAACAAATTCTAGTCAAATGCTATATGGGCCATTCTACAGAATCTTGAAAAGAAAATAGTCTTTTTCCATAAATGTCTTATAAAGTATTATTTTTTAAAGTAGACCAATACAATAAAAATAAACCAGTCGCATTTCAAAGTCGTTCGCGAAATGACCGCCAGGTGGCGCAAAGGGACATTTATCAAAACGTAAGTGGGGCTAATGTCAATTAACAGTAAGGATGAAATTCTACAAGTTATGGTAATTTGCAAATAAGCCTACAACAAACATTTATTTTTAAACAAATATTTTTAAATATGCAACATGCACGTTTAAACAACAAACAATACAATCTGAACCAGCGCTTCTGCTCCTGTATTGAGACATGCAGCGCGTTGCAGTTACGATCCGGGTTCCAGTGGCCTTAGTGGCCATTCACGGCTTTTTAAAATGTCACAAAGCGTTTTGAGATGGTTTTGAATGAAATATTGAAGTTTATAATTAGGGTATTTTGGCACACCACGCCGAGTGGCTATGCATTATTCTAAAATCTGGCTTTATTCTGGCATGTTGAATTAGAGTTTGACAAACGCGGCGGCGCGTTCATTTGAATTTATTTTTCTCATAACAGCTAAAAGAACTTACTGCGTAATTGTTGGTCATACAGATAAGATATCATCTTTTAAAACTGTAAAAGGTCTACTTTTATTCATGTAGGCTAAAGTAGGCCTACACTCACAGGCTAACGACAAAACGTTTTCTCGCTCATGACAAACAAACGTTTGGGCATTTCTCAGTGAGAAAATTCATAGCCGAGTGGTAGAACTTACGGTTCGATCATCAAGATGACACGGGTTCAAATCCCGAACAAACATGGTCTATTGTAAATTTTATATTTATTGATGCAGAGAGATTTGTGTAGCTCTAAAACTCTGGTACACCATACAGTTTTTTGCTTATATTTATAAAATAAAATTGCCATGCATTTCCATTTTACACTAAGGAACAATAGTATCCAACAGAACGACTTTGCATCTGTACCAATCGTATGAGGCCAATCGTAATTTCAAAAGCAGTTCTGTAAAAAAAGTAATTTTATATATATAGCCAATATATATATATATATATTTTATTAGGCCTATTATTATTATTTTTTTGATTCCCTACAACCTAGAGTTTTTAAAAACATGGTTTTAAGTAAAGTGTGATTTGCCAGGGGGACGGGGATTTCCTTCTGGTCTAAACATCCCTGCTTCTGCTGAATTATTTGAATCCCCACACCCCTCCCTCCACAGTAATCAATGCTATAGGCTACTTCACCAATAGACCATATCAAATATAAAATAGAGATATGCAACAGAACAAGCACGTTTAAACAACGATAAACAATAAAATCAAAACCAGCGTTTCAGTTGTCCATAGTTCAAGTGGCCTTAATGCATGCACGGCTTTTCAAAATTTCACAAAGCGTTTTGAGATTATTTTGAATGAAATATTGAAGTTTATAATTAAGTGTTTTGGCAGACCACGCCGAGTGGCCCTATGCATTTTTCTAAAATCGGGTTTTATTCGAACTTTTGCTAACGACAAAAGTTTATCTGTCGTCTCTGTCTCCGGGAACTGCGCGTCACAAAAATGAACCGAAAGCCACTTCAGCTCAGTCACTATAAGAAATCGGCTCTGTCTAATGCCTTTAAATGTCTAAATATTCAGGCTAATAAATGTTATCTGATTATGTAATCCATATGAAAACGAGAGGTACAGAGGATCTACTCAAACATGTAGCCTATGTAAGCGCTTCCCAATGAGAAAATGACAAGGGTGAAAATCTCGCTCTAATGAAATGTAGCAGGCTAAATCGCCCTGAATTAAAATGTAAAAACAGATCAAATAATGTATTTGTCGAAATGTTGCGATATTGTTTCATTTAAGTTCATAATTATTCTATAGGCCTACATGTTATTTAATTTAGCAGCATTACCACGAAGCACCGTGGTTCGATATTTATTTGAATAATAAAAAAAATAATAAAAACTTAATTCACAAATTGCATGCCTGGTTGAAAGGATCCAAAGATCCCTGTAGAATTTAATATTAAGTTGAACATTTTGTTCATGACAACAAATGAACATGCGTTTTTTCAGATTATATTTAGTTTTGCTTGGAAAAAGCTGGCCCAAACCAGTTTTATTTCATCAATTATTGAAATAATGAAATATTTAGTAATAAACTTTTATGACAGAAAATTCACTAGGCTACATGTAACTTAAATCATTTAATTCCTTCATTATCAACACTGTCTAGAATAGCGATTTAAGTGTGAATTACGACTTCTCTTTGTGTTAAATCAGCCTCAGACTCCGATAGCCTGTGGGGGGTTGGGGGACAGTTCAGTGCTGTGCGCGCAGGACAATAGGCCTAGGTGTTAATGTTCCTCTTTCATATGGAGAGCGAGGGAGACTAAATAAACTTGTTAAAAAGAGATTCAGCGCGAGAGAGGCAAAGAAAAACGCATGTTTTAATTTAATTATGTTGCTTTGGACAATTTTCGTTTTGTAGGCCTACTGTTTTAATTGTTTAATGTCATTTATTTGGCAATACAAATTTAAAATGTCGCAAGAATAATATTAGCCTAGTGTTTCTTATTTTGCATCGCAAAAGAAATAAACTCTAAACCCGATGCAACCCTGTTTTAAATAAAAAAAAACACTTTATTTAAACCTTGAAATGTTCGAACTTGGTTTCAAACTTAAGTAATTTTAGTGTTCTTTTACATTACACAATAATTTAGCAGACTAAAGACGAGCTTCTTCATTTTCATTTTCTGATGCAATCGGCTGACAATCTTCCTTCATCAGTTTGTGTCCTTTGTGCAGCGGCTGCGGTTCTACTGGAATGTAGCAAATTTATGTTGTAATGATAATTAAACAAAACTCTTGACTTTAAATAAGTAAACAGTTATAAACAGTTAGCTATTTAAGCATCAAGAAGGTAAAATATAAACGCTGTTGGCCAACATCGGTTAACAACATGTATGCCACATTGAGATTCGATCTCGGGTCGATTGAAGCTCCCTGAAGCTCGTGTTGATGCGTTGATCACTGAGCCACCGTTTGTACGCTGTTAGAGTTAAAGTCTTATGCTTTTGTAAAGCTTCATTGATGTAGCCTAAATGTTTTTATTGCAATGTTTTATGTTTTCATTATTTATTCAATTTCATTTCAGTATTTCAGCCTAATTTCAGTATTGTGGTAATGAATTATTTTAACTACGTTTCACTTGTTGAATTCATCTGCTACCAGCTTTCAATCGCTCTGAATGAGCAGCAGATTACGCATTAGAGAGAATAAACGAACACTTTTCAGAGTCTATGATTGTAGCGCCTCTTAGCGGTAAAAGGTAGCAAATACACCCCACATTTTACCGCCGCGGTGGAACGGCTGATGTGGGCGTTGTCATGGCTTTCCTCTACATTTGCGTTTGAATAGCGCGCGTTCTCCGTGGGCGTGTCAGATTAACGCGTAATGAAGTGTAATGAGCTGGGGAAAAAAATTCTGACAGCACTCTCTTTTCATACAGATTACATAAACTGAGAATATTTGTTTTTTATATAAATTACTTCATTGAAAAGAAGAGAATTCAAGCTTCATAAAGAAAAATCTCTCGTGCCTGTGTGACAAGTATTTGCAGAGTTAGAGTTAATTTTTCGGACGCGTTTCAGAATGGACTGCACTGACAGAGAGAAGGCAAAACTCGCATCATGTTTATTTTTCTTCATTTGACAAAAAGCACAACACTTTGTTTTTATTGTGAGTATACAGAAAAATAATATACACTAAACAGGATCGACTGATGTATAACACTTACATGTAAGATTAAAATCAACAGAGTATTTTGAGTCTCTTTTGCACTGATAAGAAAAAAAGTCTGCCTATCGCGCCGGCGCGATAGCCGACCCCAGGGGGTTAATCTCAGTCATGTGTTCCTGTCCGTCCACACAAACGCACTAATACACAAGCTGCAAGGGTTTACAACACTGGATGACAGGATTATCCACAAAGACACAAGCTTCACCTCATTCTGCATCAACTGCTTCTTTGTGTTTGAGTAAGAAAGTGAAAGAAAGTAAATACAGACACGGAGAGCTGAATCTCATGAGACCTCATCCATGTCATACTGTGCCTCGAAATCAAAAGAAATAAGAAATGATATTTTGCTTGAATGTGAAGGTTTTTTTTTTTTTAAGCTACAACTGATTTGCACTGGGACATTATTTTCATGATAAACAAAGAAAAGTGGCTGCGGCCTCAAAACATCTGGAAAACAAGTTCTTGTTAAAGCGTGCTACTTTTCATGTTTTCAGGAATGGGGGTTTAATGAATTGAATGATAGTTGAGTTAAAGAATTGAATTGTTGATTACTATTTTGAAGTTGTGTTCTGACGCAATGTGTGAAGAACGGAAGTGAAGGAGTAAACAAGATGGATCAGGTTCACTACTTTGCTTACTAACTCCTGACAGATACCACAATAGTGTCTATAATTCATTTATTGAGAGCATGAGAGGAAATATGCTAAATTGTCATTGAAAATAATGTCAATTCTCATTACAGTATTGCAAAAATGCCATTCTCATAACTGCAAAAAATAATTTAAATTAAATTAAATTAAATTTTATTAATTATTGTGTGTCTGCATTGGTGTGTAGATGCATTAATCATTCATGTGTGTTTGTATATCTGGGAAAAAGTCTAGCATATTAAAAGACAGACAGAGCAATATGTTCCCTACACAAACTCATGTTTACTTACCCACAAAACAATTCTTGAATTTTTAACCTTTAAAGTCTTTTTTTTTTTTTATTCAGAAGTGAGTTCTGATGAAAAATGAAACCTGTCAAGGATGTGCTGAGCAAAAATGACAGTATTTCAGTGCTGGTTTCCACTCTGTAATGCTGTAACGTGTGTTTATGGTTTTCATGGAGCCTCTCAATGCTGTAAACATACATGGCAGTGTGTGTCTGGAGCTTACCATTGGAGAACTCTTCTGCTTCTGATAGGGCTGGATGAAGTTCTGGTAAAGCTGCATGCCATACTGTAAATAAACAAACAACCAGATTATAGGTCTGTTCCATAACATACTGTCGACTGCCTACATAGGCGCCTGCCTTCTGAAATAGACCCTCATATGTGTCTAAATTAAGAACGTTCTTGTGTTTGTTATTGTTAAAACAACACAAATAAGAGTCGGGACAACGATGGGCAGTTCTTCTCTTGTTTTACTGTGCAATACTGAATCACAAACTGCAGAGGTGGAAAGTAAAGAATTACATTTACTCGCGTTACGTAATTGAGTCGTTTTTTTTTGTTTTTTTTGTTTGTTTATTTAACAGGGACAATACACTAAGCATTGTTACACATAGACAACCGATGCTGTGTACATAGGGCATATAGCATAAAGCTAGTTTGCGGCCCGCGTCCCTGGTTAGGCTTTTACATAAAATCAAAACATCCAAAAAACAAAACAAAAAAACAAACAAACAATCATCGCAAGAAACAAAACAAATACAAATACACACATGTATACATGTGTGCACATGTTATACCCAAACAAATCAACAATGACATATTGACATACCTAAACACATCAACTTCATAAAAATAACGTAACTAATCAAAAAAAAAAAATAATTAACCTCAATGTTCACATCGCTGTATAGATTTCAGCCATTGTTTCAGCTTTGTACAGAAAACCGTAAGTTCTGGTTGCAATTTTAGGTTCACCGGCATGGTGTTCCATAGATGTCCACCTTTCACTGAAAAGGATGATTGACCCATTGCAGTTCTGCATCTCCGTACGCTACAATTCCCACTTACTACCCCTCTAGTCTTTACCCCATCACTGCTGTATTTTTCTATCAACTGACAGATTACATCTGGGGCAAGGCCATATAAACACTTAAATACTGTTTTTAAAAATGAGAACTTTAAAAAATTATCAAAACTTAACAAATCATACTTCTGAACAATTTGACAATGATGCCATTTCATTGGTTTCTGATCCATCACTTTTAAAGTTTGTTTATATAATGACATTACGGGTTTAATAACTGATTGAGAAGCCTGACCCCAGATTATTGCACAATAGGTCATATGTGACAGTATCATAGTATGCATATACATTTGAGCTGCTTTAATAGATATACATGGTCTTATCAAACGAAAACAGCTCAAATTTGTCTTAATAGTCTTAGACATTTTCTTAATATGGCTATCAAACTTAAGTTTAGAGTCTACAATGACACCTAAATATTTAAATTCATTCACTTCCTTGATTTCATTTTGGTCAATTTTCATTTTAAATCCATCCAGCACTTTGTTCTTTAGTGAAAAACACATAGAAACTGTTTTGTTATAATTTAAAGTTAAACAGTTATCCTGCAGCCACTGGGAAACACTGACCAGTTGTTTGTTTAACATTTCTGCAGCCAAATGAGAGGTTTCTGCTGTTACATAAATAATTTGTGTCATCTGCATACATTTGACAACCGACCTCCTTGCAACTTTCAGGTAGATCATTTATATACAGACAAAAAAGCAAAGGGCCCAATATTGAACCTTGTGGTACACCTAGTTTGCATTTTTGAACAGATGACTTCACACTTCTAATTTTAACACATTGCTGTCTACAATCCAGGTATGATTTAAACCAGTTTAAATCTTGTTGAGAAAAGTTAATTTGTTTCAATTTATGTATAAGTATTTCATGATTCACAGTATCAAAGGCTTTTTTAAAGTCTAAAAATACTGCTCCCACTACTTTTCCTTGATCCAAACTACTTTTTATTGTATCTATAAAATGACATGTAGCCATTTCTGTTGAATACTTTGGCCGGAATCCAAATTGCTTAAAGTTTAAGAGGTGATTTTTTTCCAAGTAATTCATTAATTGTTCAGCTACTAACTTTTCTAAAACTTTGGAAATTACTGGAGTAATTGAGATGGGTCTATAATTACATACCTCACCAATCGCTCCAGACTTAAAGACTGGGGTCACCACAGCTGTTTTAAAATTTTGTGGAAACTCACCAGTTTTAATAGATAAATTTACCAAATATGCTATTGGTCTTACTAGTGTTTCACTATGTTTTTTAATAAAAGAAGCATCTAAACCGAATATATCTTTAGCTTTTGAACTATTTAATTGATTAATAATTGTATTGATTTTAACTTGATCAACCTGTGAAATATAAAAAGATGAAGATGAATTTCTTACTATATCATCTGATAAACAAACAGAATTAAAAGTTGCTGCGAGTTCTTGTACTGATTTAACAAAAAAGGTATTACATTTATTTGCAATTTCCAAAGCATCAGTGCTGACCTTTCCATCTATATTCAATTTTATTATGCCTTTACTTTGACTGGTTTTTTGATTGGTTAATTTATTCATATGTTTCCAGATAAGTGAGCTATTGCCCTGTGAGTCAGCAAACAACTGCATGAAATAAGATGACTTTGCTTTTCTCAGTTCACTAACCACTTTATTCCTTAAACCTTTAAATATAAATATATCTGTTTGTAGCTTTGTGAATATAGATTTTTTCAGTGCCACATCCCTCTTTTTCATTAGCCGACGAATATCATTATTTATCCAAGGCAAAAAAACTTTTCTCCTGTTACTTTTAAAAGAGCATGTAAACTTCTGGATTGTATTTGCAAGTGTGTCCATCAAAAAAATCACAGCACTCATTCAGATTCTCAATTTGATATACACTCTCCCAATTTATGTTATTCAACTCATTGTCAAACTGAGACATTTTCTGCTTGGGAATTCCAATTTGTGAATTATTAGCTCTAGTTCCAAAAAAACAGCTCTGAAATCGTTGTTTTGTTAATTTTCGGACAATCAAAGTTAAATTAGGATCAGACAAACCTGTTAACAAATTATACAATTTAGTAATTCGCTCTGGTTTATTTGTAAAAATTAAATCTATCAATGTTTTCAATATCAATGTGATTCTTGTAGGACTTGTTATCATTTGATGTAGTTTATGTTTAGATGCAATCATTTTAAGTTTATTTTTCTTACCGTTATCCAACCAATTTATATTAAAATCTCCCAATAAAATTGTTTCAGCACGACAATTAAACAATTTAAACAGTTCATCAAAATCATGATAAAACGAAACATTATGAGAAGGAGGGTTATATAACACCATAATATTAAAATTCATTCTTGCTGATAATACTACATTTAAAATTAAACATTCTAACACAGAAGTCTCCAATTCAACCATAGAACATTTAAAAATATCTCTAATATAAACCAATACCCCACCTCCTTTACCGGTTAATCTATCTTTCCTGTAACATGTATAACCAGGGACATCAATCATATTTGTAGGAATGTTAGTGTTTAACCACGTTTCACTCAGTGCTAAGAAGTCCAAATTAGACTCACTCAATAAATGTTGAACCTCTTCTCTTTTTGATAAAACACTACGTATATTAAGATGACCTCCAAAGTTTTTGTGTGTACTTCTACTTTTTTAAGTAGTTTTTAAAATCCGTACTTTTAATTTTACTTAAGTACGTTTTGTTTCAAGTATTGTACTTCGCTACATTTGAAATCATATCCGTTACTGGGTAAAAAATAATAATACAAGGGAGAGAAAAAAATCACACTCCGGAAATCATTAATTTTAAATAATCATTAATATCATTAATTTTCTGAATAAAATACATTTCATAGGATTATATTATTCTTAAACATTTGAATAAATTATTAATGTTAAAAATAAGTTGTTAATCTAATTCATTATCAATTATTGAATTTAATTGATTAGACATGTTTTATTGAAATTTTAATAAACAAAACAAACAAATGGTTTCAAGTTTGTTATAGTAAAAGCATTTGTTCAACCAAAAAAAAACATGTTTTCATTAATTTAACTGCCATTTTAACTGATGATAATAATAATAATTTAATAATACCGTTTATTTAATAATTGATTAATACTGTAAACCGTGATATTTTCTGAGACGTTATCATACTGTAAAAATCTCATTCCATTACAACCCTATATAGGAGAGTCCCCCACCCCCGCTGTTAAAAAAGTAACTCAGTAACTTTTACTCTGAGTACATTTTAAATGAGCTACTTTTTACTTTTACTTGAGTAGATTTTTAGACCGGTAATTTTACTTGTACTTAAGTCAAATTTCATTGAAGTAGTAGTACTTTTACTTGATTAGAATATTGATTAGATTAGAATATTTTATTACTCTTTCCACCTCTGACAAACTCTGAGAACACCATAGACAGTAAAAGAAATAGACACAGCGAACCCATAGATTTCAACGGAGAAAAGTAAAGCCAATTAGAAGCACTCACTTCCTGATGGCTGAGCGACTGCGCTGGCTCAATCTGAGTTCGACGACGTAGATGTGACGCCTGACAGTTGTAAGTCTTCTAGTAGCTGTGCCTAGACAAATCTGAATTGAAATCTGAAACAAATCCGTTGTTGAAATATTTTGTCCCGTTGCTTTTATGGACTCTCTATCTATGGGCTTCTACCTTGACTTTATGCCTCCCCGATTGCCTCATAGACAGTGTAAAGGACCTCTTTGGATCCAAGGGCTGCTACAGACAGTACAAGATTGCCTGTGAGCTTCTCCACCAGTCTATACGGTAATTTCTCTACTGTGTGACAGAGAGTCGAGTGGTTAAGATGCAATCGTTAGCCTATTTTTACAAAAACGGCTTCTACGGGGCCATAACGTAAGATACAAAGTAAGGGAGCCTTTTATACATTGTCGTGTTTCTTTAGAAATAAGTTATGGACAAATGGATTCTTTGGACGCCTCAGATGTAAAGTTATTCGCTGTCAAAGTGACGCCAAAATGAATGGGAGTCAATGGAGTGCTAACAGCAGGTGATGGTCTGCTACAATGGCGGCCCGCAGAGGAAGCTTCAGTTTCCGGCTGATGGATTACCCATAGATATCCATAATAAAGGCTAGATGTCTTACGGCGGAGTCTCTATCGTCATCACCGGCGGCCATCTTGTCACAGGCAAGCTTTCTGGTGGGCT